TCGTATTCGGGTCGGGTAAGAGTTGAGGTGCTACAGTTTGCGTTATTAGAGAGGCAGGAAAGTGATTGCTTGACATATACTATTACTAACAAATTATTTTTTTAACTCTGATTTGTTTTATCCTACCTAGAGAATCCAATTTTTAATTTTCACTATTACTAATTTCTTTTTTTTACAGCTTGTAATTCGTCAATAAGATCCGACTCATTGGACTCTACGTGCTGCTAATGGCACCTACCTTTTAACTGCAAATGGTTGCGTAAAATGCACCTGTGATGCTGCTAACAACTGGACGTAAGTATATCTCTAAACTTCCTTTTAAATCTGGCTTTTTCCGTTGGCTAATTTCTTCAACATCTGATGATGGTTTGGTCAGATTGCACTGTGAACCTTCCCAGACTAATAGACCATCCATGTGGGAAAGATGTCCATCCATGCAATGTGAAGGTCCCCAAGGAATGTCCCTCGGCAACGTCACCACTTCCAGTTGAGATCGATCGACATGTGCGTACGCCGATTATAACAACACGACTGTCTTCACTACCCTAGTTCGGGACTCGACTTGTCCCAGCAACGATGTCTCGAGAATCGGTTTAAATTGGGAGTTTCTATTCATATTGGTCTTGCTTTGTTTCCATCAAGTAGTGTAAATGCTACGCCTGTAACGATGTTAGTTCGGTTTGCCGAGAAGCTATAGAAGAATAAGGAAGAGAAAGTGAAATGCTTTTTACTTTGTGTGATCTGTGTATGGTTTATTGAATAAACTTGAGGCCTTTTGTGGAGCCAAGAATTCAGGTAACAAATTTATAAATGAATTCTGAAATTAGACCCAAGGTTGAACAAGAAATCCAATGTACTCTTTCTTATTAGTAAAATAGACCGTCGTAAGATAAGGCGTTTAGTATTGATAGAACAATTTAATAAATAACAAAGAATATAAACGAATAATCGTGTCATGATCAACAACTGTTCTAGAAACGAATTCGTCTCGACTTGTATAATTTATACAACGAATGAACGACTCTTAAAGATTAGCTCGATCTCCCCTAAAAATTTATACACTCAAAAATCCAACAAGTGATTTCAATGATTAAATATAGTGTTATTCTCCTTTAAGTTATGAGTTTGAGCAACTATGTCTATAAAATGTACGTATGTCGTTAATGGTTAAAAAAAATATTAAATAGATATTATATTATAATTATACAAAATTATTTGAAAATTATAATTAAACAAGTGATTCGAATTTGAATTCTAAAAAAAGCAATTTGATTAGATCAAATTGGAATATGTCGGGTCAAGATGAAATATTCATTACCATATCGAATGTAGTCAATTATCTAATTTTAAAATAGTAAAAAAATATTAAATATTTAATTAAAAAAACTAAAGGATACCAAAATTTAGTTTAAATTTAAGGGTAAAGTATAGTAATGGTCACTGAACATTTCTGAAGCTTGCATTTAGGTCCCCCAACTTTTAAAACTTGCAATACAGTCCCCCAACATTTATTCCGTTTGCAATATGGTCCCCCAACTTAAATCACTGTTAGAAAATTAGGGTAAATTATATAAACGGTCATTGAACTTTTCAGGCACTTGAATTTAGGTCCCCAACTTTTAAAACTTGCAAAACAATCATCAATTTCATTCTAAACCCCAATTTCCAAAATAATTCAATTTCATTTTAAACCCTAAATTCCAAAATAATTCAATTAAATTTAATTATGTCAGATTTATTATTATTTAATTTCATCTTATTTCATGTGATACGTATTTTTTATATAAATATAATAGTATAATTCTTATCTGTTGAAGAAATTTTTTAATTAAAAAAAGTAGTTAGGATATAAAAAAATGTTGAAAATAATTCGAATTTTAAATTTATAAAATGTTATTTTGACGTATAAATAAAAGTGTAAACTACTAGGTTGACAACTTAACTATCTAGCCCTTTTTACTTTTGTCATCGATCTTTTAAATTTATCAATCATACAACATGATTATTTAACTGTTTCAACTAAGCCACTAGTCGTTACCAATTGATACAAATGATGAAGTGGCAGTTAAAAGGAATTGACATTATTATAATTTCAGCCTTTATTATTTATATAATCAATTTGGTCTTAAATTAAATAGAATTTAATAAATTAATCATTTAATTAGGATCTGACATGTGTTAGCACATGATCATGTCATGACACGTGTCATTGGTGACACATGTCACTACCTAATTATTTATATATGCTATCAATTTGGTCCTAAATTAAATAAAATTTAATAAATTAATCATTTAACCAGGATCTGACATGTGTTAACACATGATCATGATATATGTTATTGGTGACACATGTCACCACCTAATTAGAAGAAAATTAAGTTACAAAGAAGTAAAATTTGGGTCTTGGGCAAACTCAAATTTGAGTCACGCAAATGAAAGATACATGGTGGAGCCACTAAGCTAACACCATCGTTTGTGTTAAGAGATATACAATAATACATATACTAATAGTATGACCAATGCCAGAAAAAAAAGAATGTAATGGAAAATGGAAATAATGAGATTTGAACTTCGGCAAAAAATTTGAAAGCAATAAATGATGGGAAAATATTATATTTTTTTACAATAAAAATATTATATTTGATAAATTGTTTGATAGATTTAATATACTTTTTAAATATTAGTTGATACAATATTTTAAAAGAATAAATTTAAGATTTATATATTTTTAAACTAAATTTAATAATTATATTTTTCATATTTATAATTCATGATTATATATAATCTTAAGTTGAGTATTTCTAATATAATAATTTTAATTTCTTATTAAAAATAAAATATTCAAAAAATATAAATGATTCATACATTAATATATGAATATATTTTTATTTATACATCTAAATATAAATATACATTTATATAAATATTTTTTATTCGTATATTGAAATATTTTGATTAAAATATAAACATATTTTAAATACTAGTTTATACAAGAAAAATAAAATATCAAAATATAAATGATTCATACATTTAAATATAAATTGAATCATTTATATTTTCTATACATCTATATTTAATAAGAAAATAAAATTATTAGGGGACTGTTTTGCAAGTTTTAAAAGTTGGGGACCTAAATTCAAGTGCCTAAAAAGTTCAATGACCGTTTATATAATTTACCCTAATTTTCTAACCGTGATTTAAGTTGGGGGACCATATTGCAAACGGAATAAATGTTGGGGGATTGTATTGCAAGTTTTAAAAGTTGGGGGACCTAAATGCAAGCTTCAGAAATGTTCAGTGACCATTACTATACTTTACCCTAAATTTAAACTAACATATCTAAAAATGTCATTATACAAACTAACTCGTTTGGATAAAAAAATTGAATACATATCCTAATTTAACTAACTAGTTAACATGAAGACCAACAACACAACCTATGACTATATAAGAAATTTGTAAATAAAATAATTAAATAATCAACATTTTTAAATTAAATTATACTTTAAATTATGAACAATTAATACAAACACACTTTTATCTATTAAAATAGATATAATATAGTTTATATATAATATTTTATCAACTATATATATCAAATGTTAAATTTAGCTTAATGGTTAAGCATATGTTCAAATTCTCACCATGACCCAAGTTTGATTTTTATTGCTGCCTTTTTAATTTATTTTTCAATTTTTCTTAGTAATAGTTTATATAAAATATGTTGTTAAGTATATATATAAAGTGTTGAGTTTCGTACAACAATTCATCTAACGGTCGATGACTTAATTAATAATTTGATTGAAAAAATTATAATTTAATAGTTAAAATAGAATTAACCTTATAGTTTAGTGACCATTCAAATAATTTATTCAAACTTTAAGGGTTAAAATGATATCTTTGAAATTTTAAGGTCAAAATTATCATTAGGACAAAATCTTGAATACTCCAAAATGGGCATTAACGTAATGTAACTAGTGTTTTGAAAATCGGATCGGTCGGTTGGTTCAACCGGGAATATTTGTCTAGTCCGGTTCAATCTACACCGGTTGAACCGCTATTAGTGAACCGGCCAGAACCGTTGAACCGTTCGAATCAGATCGGTTGAAAACCGGAAAAAACCGCCAATTTTTTTTATATAAAAAAATTAAACCAAACGACGTTGTTTGTTAAACGAGCCAAGTCGAACTCGAGTATTGCTGAGCTCGACTCGAACTTGAAAAATTTAAAAGTAAGTTCAACTCGACTCAAACTCACGAGCTAAAAATTATCAAGTTCAACTCAAACTCGAAATATAATATTGAAACTTGAACTCAAAAAGGTTTGAACTCAAAAAAAAATTAGAAGTTCGATTGAAGTCTAAAATTCGAGCTTGATTGAAGTGAAAGAATAGTTTACTCAATGCTCACCAAAAGACTACATGATTTTGAATGCCAAATTACCTATATTATTTATAGAAGTTAGTTGTGATGCTCTTCTATGTTTCTTAGCTATGTGAGATTATTTTGTTCTCATATTTTTACTCTTTAGACTTTTGGGATGCTCTTATATGTTTTTTAGTCATGTGAGATTGTTTTTTTTTTAATTTAAACCAAACAATATCATTTTGTTATGCTTTTTTTAGTCTCAAATTTATTTTTTAATTATAGTTATATAATTATATTTATTATTTAATATGTTTTATCTTAAATATTATGTTGTATTTAATTTGAATTATTATGTTTTACTTGATTTTATGGTTTGTAACTTATATATGTTATGACTTGCTTTAAATATGACTTGTGATATAAAAAATTATTTTTTATTAAATATTTTTTTATTTTTATTTAATTTTTTAAATAATTATGACGTCGTTCGGTTCGACCGGTTGAACCAGTGAATCGGTAGCATGACTGATTCGCTAACCGATCCGGTTCTGAAAACCATGAATGTAACTGATAACGGTTAGAACGGCAGGTTCAGCGTCCGTGCAACAGCTTCATCTCTCATGCCGATTCTCGACTCCCCATTTTCAATCGATCAAAGCTGTTTCTCGGGCTTTCAAATTTCCGTTTCATTTAAATTAAAACCCTCTTTATTTGAATTAAAATGAAAGCGATCATCGTCCTTTGATTTCCAACATTCTTTTTAAATGAATTATGCTGCTGATTGGCTTCAAATTGAGAGAAAGTGTAGTAGCTGATGAACATTACAGATTATCTGTTGGGCTATTCGCCTCCTATTTGGGCGACTTTGATTGCCGGAATTTTTGTAGTCGTAACACTTTCGCTTTCAATGTATCTTATTTTTGAGCACCTTTCTTCGTACAAGAATCCTGAGGTATTTTTTTAATAGAAAATTTCAGTTTTTTTTTCTCCTTATTTTGATTTTGCATTTTTTAAAAAAAAAAATCTTTGTTTTCTTGAATTGGCAGGAGCAAAAGTTCTTGATCGGCGTTGTTCTTATGGTTCCTTGCTATTCTGTAGAATCGGTGAGTTTTTTTATCGGATTTATTTGTCTTAGTTGAATGGAAGCATTTTAATATTATACATAGATGTTTTATGCAATTCAGATCGTGAAAGTCTTAGTGTTCTGCATTAAACTCTATATTGTTTCCTGAAAATCAGAGTTTTTGATAATGTAAGGCTAAAATCATCAGCATACAGAAATTAAAATTTAAAAAATGCTTGAAATTGTTGTCTATTATTGCTGTGAAAGTTGGTCTGGTGGTAATAACGGAATGCACGTTTAAGTGAATTCAGCGGTTAAATGTTTTATGATCAATTCTGGAAATTTAAAGATGCTCGCAGTTGAACATTTCTGTAGTTTGGCTCCTGACATAAAAAATGTCATGCTTGACATTTTGGAATTTTTAAGTATAATTTGGGTGCTTGAGATTGCTGAATATACCTTAAGACATGTATGTAAAACCATTGGTATAAATCTTCAAAAGTGTGATCTGATATTGCTAACATGCTTAATAGAAGTTAATGTGCATTGAATGTGGTTGTTGGTTGAATACTTATTAATTTTGTGTGTTCATAAGAAACTGAACTATGTTCAGCTTAGGTTACTATTTTAAGTTTATTGTGCTTATTAGTCTTTGAAATTTTGAGTTTAAAGTGTAGTTCCAGCATAGTACTTCAACATGTCAATTTTGCACCATGCATATGGTGTAATTATATGTTATATTCAGTCTTGCTAACCTGGATTATTTTAACAGTTTGTATCATTGGTGCATCCATCAATTAGTGTTGATTGTTCAATACTACGTGATTGCTATGAATCATTTGCGATGTATTGTTTTGGAAGATACCTTATTGGTTGCTTGGGTATGTAATCTCGAAAGCCTTGAACTTCAAACAAAGATTTTATTTCTTATTTCTGGATCATCCATGCATGATATTTCATTTATATTACAGCATTGTCTTTGTTATATGCTTTGCCCATACACTTGAATCTCAATTTTGGAAACCCTATTATTTTCAATGTCTTTGAACAGACAACTTTGCTCTTTCATTTCAACATTTGTTAGTTTTGCTCAAGCAAGGTCCAGGATGTGATTTGCAGCCCTTACCTTTAGCATCAATGACCAGCTCAAGGCTCAACACTACGTTCTACATGGTGGCCAAAGGCTGTTTCAGTTACTAGCCAATGGCTTGTTTTAGTTTAAAGTTATTTGGTGCTAAGAATGAGCATTGAGCTATTGGTGACAATGTTTGAAGTAAATTACCTTGAGATGCACAGAGAGAAAATGGTATTGTAAATATTTCATCGAATAGGTTTGAAAGAAGAACAAATAGTTCTATACTTCTGTTGAACTGGTTTATACATGCTAGCATTTTTTTTCCTTTTCCCCTTCATGAATTTGGCATTATGGGTCTCATGGTTCTAATAAACTTCTGTTAAAATATTCATAAGGTAAAGCTTTTGCAAGATATATGCATTTCTGGTTTATGGATTCTCCCAAGCTTCATCTTACAGAAGATATGTCAAAGTGCAGTACTGGTTTTGTGCTTTGACAACACAAGCTATTTGTTAAATATTTCATTTCCCCTTTTTCTTCTCCCTCATAATTTATGTTGGGCTTCATTTTTCAGCGTTTTTTTTTAATTGTGGCTGATGTTGAGAAAACTTGTTTCAATTATTGAAATCTTTCATTCAATTTCTTCTCTAAGGTGGGGAAGAGAGGACAATTGATTTCATGAGAAGACTAGGACGTGCAAGTTCTAAAGCTCCACTATTGGGACACAGTTATGAGAAAGGAACTATTAAGCACCCTTTTCCTATGAAATATTTCCTAAGCCCCTGGAAACTTGGTCGATGGTTTTACCAAGTTGTCAAGTTCGGCATTGTTCAATATGTAAGTTCTCTTTAGCTTGAAGAAAATGAAATATTACGTTTGCTTTTGACCTCATTTGTTTCCTTTTTTAATATAATTGTATGGTTTCTTGACAGATGATAATTAAGATATTGACTGCTCTCTTAGCAGTAATTCTTGAAGCTTTTGGTGTATACTGTGAAGGAGAATTCAGTTGGGGATGTGGGTAAGATAATCTTGAATGTTGCTGGTGATATTGAGGATTTTGTGTGAGTTATCAGTAGAAATACCATTTTTCTGTGTAGAAAAAAGTACTTTTGAAAGATTGTGATTCAAATTGATGCCTCTTTTGGTTCTTCACCAAAACCCTGAACTTATAATGTTGTCTCAATTGTGAACCCAAGCTTTTATTTAGAACATTCTTGCATTTAGTTCCTGCGTTTAAAGTGGTGAACATTCTCAGTGGAACAGAAATTTTGTCAATGGTCCCTCTTAAGAAACTTCTCATTATCTTGGCAATTTTTCCCCGCTTGTGCAGATATCCTTATATGGCAGTGGTTCTCAATTTCAGTCAAACATGGGCCTTTTACTGTTTACTTCAATTCTATACTGTCACAAAGGATGAACTGGCACCCATAAAACCATTGGCCAAGTTTATGACTTTTAAATCAATTGTGTTTTTGACTTGGTGGCAAGGTGTGGCAATTGCCCTTTTTTATGCTCTTGGTCTGTTCAAACATCCGGTTGCCGAAGGCTTGCATCTGAAGTCGAGTGTCCAAGACTTCATCATTTGTATAGAGGTGGATGTCTTCAAACACCAATGTATCTTTTCTAGTTAAAATTACTATTTACTATACATGATGCATCTACGTAATAAATACTCCAATGATTTACCAGTGCATGTAAGCTGAAACAACACCCTTGTAGAATTTTTGACTGACTAATCTTTTTGTAATACGAAAACTTGACATATGATGGTATTCCTCCTGCGCAGATGGGCATTGCTTCTGTTGTTCACCTGTATGTTTTCCCTTCCAAACCGTATGAGCTAATGGGAGATCGCATTCCTGGAGGTGTTTCAGTCCTTGGAGACTATGCATCCGTTGATTGCCCTATAGATCCTGATGAGGTCAGAGAAAGTGAACGGCCTACAAAGCTACGCCTACCGCAGCCTGACATAGAGGCTCGAAGTGGAATGACCATCAAAGAATGTGTGAAGGACGTATTTATTGGTGGTGGTGAATATGTAAATCTTCTGTGTATACTAACAATGCCAATTTTTTATTCCACATTGTACATTGAGATAAGTGAATATTATATCACTACTGCTGAAACTGCTGTTTTTGTTGTGCAGATTGTAAATGATGTAAAATTTACAGTAAATCAAGCTGTTGAGCCAGTTGAGAAGGGGATTACCAAGTTCAATGAGAAACTGCATAAGATCTCTCAGAACATAAAGAGGGACGACAAAGACCGGAAAAAGACAAAGGATGATAGTTGCGTTGCCACATCTGAACCGAGGGTAATTCGTGGTATAGATGACCCCCTCTTAAATGGGAGCGTTAGCGATAGCGCGCTCGCAAAGGGGAAGAAACGATGTAGAAAATCGGGAAGCTCTACTGGTGTAGAAAGTGGAGATAGCACCTGCTATCAATGCTATGGTGGATATCTCATTAGGGGCCGTAGATGGGTCACAAAGGAGTAAAAGCCTAGATGAATTGTCGCGGCTATATGAACCACGACTCGCCGACATGATTGCTTTGAGTCATCTCCTGCTTTTAGTTTCTGCCCTGCTTGCTTGGTTGACATGCCTAACAGCATTCATTATTTCTGCCAAATGCGGTTGAAGATTCTTCTTTTTCCTTTCTTTCAATTTTCCCGAATTTGTTGCATGATTCAGACATCTTTGCTCTATTTTTTAGAGAGAGATTCCGTCTAGGCAAGTGTTTTCTGGTCGAATCAAGCTCGACTCATGTCTGGAAATCATTGCCCAGAAACAAGTTATGAACAGATGAACAGCATTCTTGCTTTGAATATATGCAAGACATTTGAAATTATTTCCCATACTCATTTTTCGTGTAACTTGAAATACATGGATGATGGATCTTTCTTTCTTTTTCAGCCATAACTCATATCTCTTATCTGTTTACAACGTATATTTGAAGTTAGGATACGCTGATTGCTGAGTGTCAATATATGCAAAATAAACTAATCTATAGTGTCAGTATATGTAATTTGGAACATGTGTTTTTTTTTTCCTGGCAAATAAATATGAATATTTTAGTTTTTATTTTTTTTTCATTATCAAATAATAATTGTTTTTTATAATCATCGATATAATAATTTATTAATTGATAAATCTCGATCGAGTATTATAAAATATCATTACAAACGATTTTATTAATCTATTTTTTTTCCGAAAATTTAAATAAGTATCTCATCCTCTAGTATAATTGTTAATTGATAATGAATTCATCCCTTAATTGTATTGATTTGAATTATTATTTAATAAATATTAGTATTAATTTTTTTTTAATTTTAATCTTTTAAATAAAAAATATTTTTTAATAAAATTTACTTGAGTCTATTTCAATTTAAATAAAATTTGATATTTAAATAAATATATTTAAAAATAGTTTAGAAAAAAAACTCACCTATTCGATTCAACAATCATTGTTAATACCATTAACATTTTTTTCTCAATAGTTAATTACTATCGTGTATGTTTTTTGAATTTATAATGAATTGTTTATGAAATTAGTATGATTGCATGAATAAATTGATGACAGATTTAGATAAACATATTAGTGATTAGAATTTTTAAATTGAAGAGGTTAAGAATTTAAAATTCTTGATTATAGAATAAGAATCTCAGCCTTTTTTAATGACTAACCACGTAGTTGTACCTTTTTATTTTAATTCTTTGATAGATGGAATTCATATTCACTCCTCAAATCTCAAGCAGAGCTCTCCCAGAGGGAATCAACAATCTAAAGCGATAAATTTGAATCCCTACATACAAATTACAAAGAGCTCAGTTTTCCAGTCTCCTATGGCTCTCAATCTTCGCCAGAAACAAACAGGTACGTTTCTCTTAGATCTCTCTTCTTCCGTTTCCCCTAAATTACCGAAAGCACATTTCATATCTCTTTGTAGATCTCGATATAAGTGCAAATGCAATGAACTTTCATGTATCTTATTTTTGAGCTTTGGCCTGTTAATATTTTTTAAATTTTGATATTTTATTTGGATCCAAATCCATAAATTCTTGCGTTAACCAACCATTTGTTTTTGTTGAACTCTTTTAAAAAAAAAAACTTTTTGGATCTAGTTTTATCTGGGGTTTCCTTTACTGTGCTGTTGAATTTGATCGTATTGGGTATTTTGCTCTTTATTTTTTATTTTTTTCCATTTGGTTGCTTTTACAGAATGTATAATCCGAATGCTGAATCTGAACCAACCTGTGAATCCCACTGGAACTGCTAATGAAGAGGTTTACAAGATCTTGATTTATGACAAATTTTGTCAAAATATACTGTCCCCCTTGATCCATGTCAAGGATCTACGGAAACACGGCGTTACCCTATACTTTCTTATTGACAAGGATCGAAAACCTGTTAATGATGTACCCGCTGTCTACTTTGTTCAGCCTAACCAATCTAATATCCAGAGAATTGTAGCCGATGCTTCACGTTCTCTCTATGATAACTTTTATCTTAATTTCTCTTTATCTATACCAAGGCCACTTTTGGAGAATCTTGCTTCTGGGACTTTGAATTCGGATTCAATCCAGAAGATTTCAAAGGTTCATGATCAGTATTTGGAGTTTGTGACGTTGGAGGATAATTTGTTCTCATTGTCCCAGAAGTCTACTTATCTGCAACTGAATGATCCATCCGCTGGGGATAAGGAGATCGAAGATATTATTGAGAGGATATTGTTAGTGGATTATTTTGTGTTTTGGCTACGCTTGCAGTGGTGCCTATAATAAGATGCTCACATGGTGGACCAGCAGAGATGGTTGCTTCAGCATTGGATCAGAAGTTGAGGGATCATTTGTTGTCAAAGAACAATTTGTTTTCTGAAGGTGGGAGCTTTGCAAGCTCATTTCAGCGTCCAATTTTGTGTATCTTTGATAGGAATTTCGAGTTGTCAGCTGCGATACAACATGATTTTAGGTACCGCCCACTTGTACATGATATTCTTGGATTGAAGCTTAATAGGTTGAGTGTGCCAGGAGAGAAAGGTGGCATGAAATCGTACGAGTTGGATAGCTCAGACCCATTTTGGACGGCAAATGGCTCGTTGGAGTTCCCTGAAGTCGCTGTTGAGATTGAGTCTCAATTGAACACATATAAGAAAGATGTCGATGAGGTGAATAGGACTGGTGGGAATGCAGGAGCTGACTTTGATGGGACAGACTTGATCGGGAACACAAAGCATTTAATGAATGCAGTGAACTCCCTGCCTGAACTGACAGAACGGAAGCAGGTTATTGATAAACACACAAACATTGCAACAGTGCTCTTAGGTCAAATAAAGGAGAGATCTCTTGATGCTTATGTAAAGAAGGAGAATGATATGATGGACAGAGGAGGCATTGACCGAAATGAGTTGCTGGCTGTACTTAAGGGAAAAGGTACCAAGATGGATAAGTTGCGTTTTGCTATAACATATATTATCTCTTCTGAAACCATTAATCCAGCAGAAGCAGAAGCAGTGGAAGCAGCACTAATAGAATCTGAGGTTGATACTAGTGCATTTCAGTATGTGAAGAAGATCAAGTCATTGAATGTTTCGTTGTCATCAGCAAATTCTGCTAGTAGAAATAACATTGTTGATTGGGCTGAGAAGCTCTATGGCCAATCAATCAGTGCTGTCACAGCAGGTGTGAAGAACCTATTATCTAGTGATAGGCAGCTCGCTTTGACCAGGGCTGTGGATGCATTGATGGAGGGGAAGCCAAACCCTGAAATTGATTCTTACCTTGTGTTTGATCCCCCTGCCCCTAAATCAAGCTCTGGCTCTAGTAGCAGCCACCTGAAAGGACCCTTTAAAGAAGCTATTGTTTTCATGATTGGTGGTGGAAATTATGTGGAGTATGGCAGCTTGCAAGACCTTGCCAAGCATCAGCAACCTGTCAAGAATGTTATATATGGAACAACAGAAATTTTAACAGGAATGGAGTTTGTTGAGCAACTCTCACAGTTGGGGCATAAGATGGGATTGAGCAATCCTGTTGCTACTTCTTCAGCAACCCATTAATGCAGCTTTGATATAATTTGCAGAGCCTGCTATTCGCTGGTCAAATGCATAAAGGAGGCTGCAGCATCTAAAACGAAGATACCATACACTATTATCAAGTAAATGCATATGTGAAGGTGAATATCTGTTGGGCCATGCACTTTTTTCTTGATAGCTTGCTGATTTTGATTGAGATTTGAACCTTCGGCTATTTAGAAGAACTTATATAAATATTTCTTTTCCAGTAAGTTTCTGATGTTGGGATGGTTGTTTATCTTTCTTATTTCTTTCCCCTTCTTAGTTATACACATCATATTCATTGTAGTTTTTTTTTATAGAAATTGGATAGGCCTCGTTAAAAACCCCCTTCTTAACCTCCATGTTACAACAATAACATGTAAGACATAGGAAGGAGGAAAAGAGTGCCTAAAAATTCATTAATACCATAATAATACATAGCCATCCTAAGAAGTTCTGTTACAACATAAAACTTAAAAACCAAACACAGAACATAAATAACCAACTCAAAAGTTGTGCAACCAATTCAATACTCTAATAATCATCCTATTCCTTCTTTAGCTAGTTTATCCGCTTCACAATTAGCATCTCTCAAAATATGCCTAACAATTACCCCTCTACTCTCCACTAAGGCAGCAATGTCTTTCACCAAAGACTGGAACATAGGAGTACATACACCCGGATTTTTAATCCATTTCAGTGCATTAAGGGAATCTGATTCCAGGATGACCCTTGAAAATGAAACCAAAGCTTTCTCCTCAATATACATCAGCCCTCTTTTTATAGCCAATAGCTCTGCAAGAATAGGAGGTCCTCCCCCAATCCTTTTAGAAAACGAACCCTGTTGCAACCCTTGAGCATCCCTTAACAATCCACCAATGCCTCCTTTATCCCACTCCTTAGACATCGCACCATCAACATTTAATTTAACGAAACCTAAGGGAGGAGCAGTCCAACACGAGGAAGAAATAGAATCCTTCTTCCTTCTTACCCCCAAATCAGCTAATTTAATATCTCCCACAAGAGAATCAAAATTAATCTGCACATCATTGAATCTCGCGACAAACCATGATGCAATTCTAAAACGAACAAGGAAGAACAATAACGGGCCATCCACCATTCCTTTCCCAAAAATAATATCATTTCTACACTTCCAAGCCGTCCAAAGCACCGCCCTAGGGATGAACTTTCAAATGGTGGATTTCGGGATTAAATCATTCCAAACGATTATGAAATCCAACAAAGTCTGAGGTGGCACAAAAGATACATTCCAAGATGACAAGAATTTATACCACAGGCCTCTAACGACCTCACAATGTACAAATAGGTGAGAAACCGACTCCACACACTTTCCACACAAAGGACATAACGAGTCTTCAATCCCTGTAACTCCTCGCTTTATCAATTCCTCTCTAACTGCCACTCTCTGATGAGCAGCCTGCCAAACAAAAGTTTCGACCCGAGGAGGAGCAACCCCTGTCCATACAATGCTGTCCCAAGTACCATCATCTTCCTCATTACCAGCCCAATCAAAATAGCACTTCACACAAGATTTAGCTGAAAAACAGCCCTCCCCATTCCCTGTCCAGACCCAGCAGTCTTCTTGCAAAGATGATAAAGAGGTAGAATTCAACAAGGACATAAGCTGCATCCACTGTTCCACCTCCCAGTTCACCAAATTCCTCCTTAATTTAATGTCCCAGCAACACCCAGATGAAGAATTTTCCATGAACTCTGCAACTTTGCCCCTTTATTCATTGATAGAGCAAAGATCCTTGGGAACCTAACTTTTAAAGGAAACGAACCCAACCAAGAATCATGCCAAAATTGCACTGTCTCTCCATTCCCCATCTTCAAACACAAATTCTTCCTTACACAGTCCCCAAAATCATCATTAGAAAAGAAATTATTAATTATTCCTTTCCAAATCCAAGATGCTCGATTAGACAAAGAATTCATAATTAAGCATGTATTAAAGTCTAGATTTATACACGCAACACAACTTTTTTTCCACCACGAATTCTTCTCTGTTGCAAATTTCCATACCCATTTACCCAAAAGAACTCTATTTAGAAGAGCCAAATTCGGAATTCCCAAACCCCCCAACCTCTTCGGCTTGAATACTAACTTCCAATTCAGCCAATGAATATTCCTCTTATCTGCCGAACCACCCCAAAGGAAGGCAGCCATTATGGAATTCAATCTCTTAACCACACCAATTGGAATTCTAAAAAGGGAGAAAATAAGTCGGAAGAGAACACAAAACTGACTTCACCAAAACTGCCCTACCAGCTAGAGATAAGGAATTAGCCTTCCAACCAGCCAATTTAGAATAAAATCTCTGGACAATTGGCTCCCACAATACTGCAGAATTTCTCTTAGATCCCAACGGTAATCCTAAATATTCTGCTGGAAAAAATCCCACTGTGCAGCCAATTTCCACTGCCCAGCCTGCTAACTCATCCGTATCCACATTAATACCAAAGATTTTACTCTTAGATAAATTCAATTGCAAACCTGTCATCAATTCAAAAATTAACAACACCCTTCTGACATTCTTCAAGTCTCGAACAGTGGCCTTGCTAAAGATAATGAGGTCATCCGCAAATTGCAAATGTGATAGCATAAACAACCTCTCTTGATTTCCTAACTCAAAGCCCGAAAACATGACTCGTTTGTGTAATTTCTTTCCTGTTTGTGTTGGTGTGTGCATACACATGCTCACGGTTACAGTAATAAATTTAACTATCGGAATGAATCACTGTGATGGTATATCTTCATGTGGCTAATGTCTGCCCTTACTGGTTCCAGTTTCCTGTATGTTGTTATTCTTCATCAGAATTCTCCCTCAGAATGTTCATCCATTTCTTGCTAGGATCCCTGCAATTATGCTCATGCAGTTCAATCTCAAAAGCAGCAATTCGAATGAGTTGTCTAAAATGCAGACGAGATGATCTATCTGATGTATGTCATATGACGACACGGTTTATATTATAACATTAGCTCCGGATTTGCGATCACTGAGAAAATTCAATTTCCCATATGATTAGTATCTTACACATGGAAGGAATCACGGAATATCATAATTTCCTTTAACGTTTGAAAGAGTAACAAGCATGATTTCAATGGATCGGTCTCCAATATAGAGGACCAAAATAACAAACACAAATCATGAACATAAAAAAGAACTCCCCCCCCCCCCCCCCCACACACTCCACTAGCAGTGTGTCAGAGATTTAGGAGAAACAGTGCCGGCTGCAACTGAAACTTAGTCTTTGCTGGTTCAGATTTCAACCATCTAACAGTCGTGTCGAAGATCTATGAGAAACCGTGCCGGTTCAGTTTTTGCTGCATAGCCAAACTTGTATGAACTATACTTTCTATGCACTGCCTTGAGTTTTCCTGATCCAGCCTTCTGGTGGTAAGTAACCATCATCTTTGAACATTCACTGTTGACAAAACATCATAACAAACATGAGCATCCTTCATAATAGAACTCGGAATGCCTAGCAATCCAAATATCATAAGAACTTACAGCAGCTGTTCTTCTGTGTATTTAGTATGCCATTCACTGGTCTTGGTCCAGGTCTTGAGCCGCCAAAGACTGCACTGAGCTGTGTAAATTGCTGCTGCAGCTAGTAGAGATGGCTGAAACTTGAGCATTTCGTATTCAACCATGCACAACTCAATGAGGAAGAACGAGAGATATTTGAGCCGGTATGACACGGGGTAATATCTTTATCGGGTTTTTTTTTCTTCTTTTTTTTTCCTTTTTGGCAACTTACAAAAGCTTATAGTGATACATTCATTAATGAAATCATTTTATTAACCTGTTTCTCGGATTGTGCTGCCTTGAAAAATCTCCTCATAAAAACATACATATTGAATTGTAAAGTGTTCATTAATTTCTCCTAGAATCACGGAAACAGCTATTAGTCTAGACAAAAATACAAGGAAAACACAGGATGCATGAACTGAGAACCGATGTAGGAATTTACCATATCTAGAACATCCTTCCTCGTATAAAGCTTTGTCCGAAATCAGAACAAAGTCCTCCACTATTGGGATAGAAACCTCCTCATATTTGCATGCTAACAACATAGCTGTCATGCCAACCAATTGAAGCTTCTTTCGGATCACGGTGCAACGCTCTATGAGATTGATTGTGAGGAACAATGTCTCTTCCTTGAGTTCACATTTATAGTGAACCCGTTGAATATGATATTGTTACTGATCTGCAGGCTTCAACTTTTAAATGCTTTTAACCTTTTAATTTTGCATGTATATTCTCGATAGCTCCACCCCGATTAAGGTTATGCCATACCTAAATAAGCCAGTCAATGAGGATGGCCCTCATCTTCTCATTGATGTCGAATTGTCTATCCATGTAATTGATGTGAAATTATTCGAGTCATGTTCTTATAAATCAAGTTGTCCAAAGACACTTCATTAGCATGAAAAGCACAAAAATAAGAACAAATCAACAAGCTTTAAGCAATAAATAGCTTGTAAGTACACATAGAAAGATACTTGGCTTTAATCCAAGCTCTTCCAAAAATATTAACTATCAAGCTTTCAAAGCTTTATTCCACCACCTTTGCTTTTCATTGAGAGATTTCACCTTCAATCTCACTTTTGGAAGCTTCAAACACAACATTGATAACAATAGCTACTAAATTTCATAAACAAAATTTTAAATTTATTATTATTTTTTAAACAATTCAGAGTGATAATAAGGTAGCAAACTAATATTTAAAAAAAAATATTGATAATAAACACGTCCTATAAATAACAATTGAGATGACTTGAAATTCCATTATGATATAAAACCCCTAACTTTTCTTGATACTTGACCTATACTCTTGATCACCAAACTAACTCTAGGTTAAAGAAATGATTAAGGGGGAATTTGAATTAAGAAAAAAATCATTATAAAAGGAAATAACTTTTTCAGGAATCACATATCTTCGTTTGGTTTAGGAGCATTCCCTCCCAAGGGTTAAAAGCGATATATACCGTAGCTTTTTTGGCTTGAATCCCATTGTTTTCTTAGGTATTAGACAATTCCCTTCCTTTAAAACTACTATAAAAAAATGACCATTCCTTTTGTGCATAATTACATTGGTATAAATCTATTTTATTTCTTTTATTTTTTATTATAGTTCTAAATTTTTCAATACTTATTATAAAAAAATAATATGATGCATATGATAAAAAGTAAAAAAAATCTATTTTATTTTAAGTATTTATTATGTATGTGCTTGATTCAAGTTTTATTTTCTATATGTATTTATTGTATTTATTTTTAGGATTAATTTTCATAAAAATATTTTCTTTATTATATTCTTATGTTTTCTATTAGTTTTGTCAAATAATTTGAGATGATATTTTGTTGTACAAGTCATACATGTAGCATGAATAAAATAAAATAAATAGCACTTAATACATACTTACATCGATGTATGTACATCTCCCAATATCTTGCTACATAAAAGTAGACATATAATTATAATGGTGTAAGTATGTTTATGTATTTAAAAAAATAATATATATATATATATATATTAAGTTATTTGTGTACAAATCGTATTAAAAATATATAAATAGAAAATAAAAATATATTTTTTAATGAATTTCATATAAATATTTTTACTTTAATATTGAAAATCCATCTCGTTAAAAAAGAATGGGTAAATCACGCGTTTAGTATCTAAACTATCAGTTTTAGTATGATTTAGTACCTAAACTTTTGATTTTTTAAAAACTATACCTAAAGTTTATTTTTTATTTCATTTTAGTACCTCACCGTTAAAAGCTTAACGACACTATATTTTTATGAGTAAATTACATCACTCATCACTCAACTATCTTCTCACTTCTATTTTGGTAGCAAACTTTAAAAAAATTCAATTTAACTACTCAACTTTAAATTGCTCCTATTTTAATCACTCTAATTTATTTTATTAATAACTTTTGTGACATGATGTTTTTTTTTGTATTTATTAATATATAATTAAAAGAAAACTAAATTTGAAAGTTAGAGTGATTAAATTATGAGTAATTTGAAAGTTAAATTAAATTAAAATAAATCAAACTTTTGTAAGCAAAATAGGAGTGAGAAGATAGTTGAATGATAATGATGCAATAAACCCATAAAAAAGGTGCCACGTACAAATCACCCATTAGGTTTTTAATGGTGATGTACTAAAACGAAACAAAAACTAAACATTAAGTATGATTTTGAAAAAAAATTAAAAGTTTAAGTATTAAAATAAATCAAAACTGATAGTTTAAGTAGTTAAGGCGTAATTTACCCAAAAAGAAAATATATCCCATTGATAATTTGGTAAAACATACATTTTTACTATATTATATTATTTCAACCAAACACTTTAAGCTTATATTCATGCTAAACAAATCGAATAAAGTAACACAATATTTCCAATAATATATTAGGTAATGTAATAATTTAGTAATTTTATTTCTAAAGACAATTTTAAATTACGTGAACTAACGAACGGGGAATTTCAAAATTTCAATTTCAATTATCACGGACTGATCTATAGACGTTGAGGAGGGTGAAGTTAAATTGATACATTGAATATCCATTGTACAATATATATGTTTTGAACGTATTGGAAGAGCAGTGAGGATGAAGCAAGGAGGCAACTTGAGCTGGCATGCACCATATTTGAGCAGCCCCAAACATTTGGTTTTAATGGCGGCCCCATCCCAACGGAAATTGTGGGGGAGAAAGACGACTTCGGTTCCCGCGCCCACCGCCATCCCTTTCCCTGGGACTGACGAGTCTTACAAGTTACAACATGAATGTCGCGACGACCGAGACGATTCCGATCCCAGTCAATCATCATCGTCCTAATCAAAACATTGTACTACATACCAAAATCCGACCGAGTCTTTGTATGCACGCGTTGTAGCTCGGGATACCCACGTTCCTTGTTCTTTTTAGGATTAATCACTCATTTCCTCTTAAAAATTATAATATATTTTTAAAAATTTTAATTTTCTTATTATCGATATATTTAAAAAAAACAAAAAAAAACAAAGCTGAGAGAGCATGTAGTTTATAATCCCATAAATTGTCCTCACAACTCGACTTACAAGACAATCGTAATATCAATGGATTTGTGAAAACCATACAATCAGTTAATTTGTATTTATTTTTAAAATTAACAATTAAATTTCATATTTGTTATTAGTAATAACATTACTTATTTAAATGTAAAAAGATAATTCGGTAGGCCTTGCGGTATGATGCACCGAAATTGAGATAAAACAATACGAGATTTTAATCCCACTTTTTATGGTTCTTATGTAATTTTATTTTTCGTTTGCTTCAATAATTAATGCCCTTAATCAATACAATGCAAATAAAAGGCATCGGCCGGCGCAGTAACTGAAAGTAAATCAATTATATTGATTGTGGTCCACGATATTTTTTGTTTTTCTTTTCCTTTTTATAATATATCTTTGATATTTTTTAAATTCTTATAATAAATTAAACACATTTCCTTTATCTTTTGGTACGTATTCGATTGTTTAATCGATTTTTTTTATCTTTTTTTTAGAGTTGAATTTAATATGTGTCACGATTGATTGATATGACGCTTATTTGTTATCATACTGATCTTTCCTGCTTTGGACTCT